TCCATGAACTTTCTATTCAAAGAAGCATGTTATGATTTCGGTTAGGCCAGTTAAAGAAATGTGAGTAGTTTGGAGTCTGGATGTGGGGCCGACCATATCTCCCACCACACCGTATGGATGGATGGGTATATTGTCACCATAAAGTAATACGTGACACAAATGCCAAGCACTTTCTTCCGCTACTTTTACATGCTTTCCCATAGCCTACATAATACATAAGTTGCAAACCACAGTGATTGCGAAGGAAATCCTGTCAACTTTGCAGATACGCACGCATACATGAACAACGTGCTTTGTTCATTCTCACTTTCCATCCAATATTACAGGAAATGTGGTGTGCGTTGTGTTCCTAGTTTCTGGCCTATTTAAATTTCTCCATGAAATGTTTACTTAATGAGTTAGCTCACAATAAGCAGTATGGCATGGCCACATGGCATAGCTTCATTGAGCAGTATACATAGATGGAGAAATTTGCGTCATTTTATGGCACTGTAAACTTTGTGGGAACTGAAACTATCAAATTTTATTGCTAAACTTATTTCAGAATTATTGAGCCTATTTAAACACTATCAACTTTGCTATGTACATAGTATCTACTTGATTGAAGTAGTATTATATGTAATTCAATCCATGGAGAAAAATTATATCTTCATGTTATGATAATCAACTTTACGCCAACCTGAGTTTTTGTGCTCTCTTGCACAACTTTCACTGGGAAAAGATAGGAAGGATGTACTTTGAGAAGAACCAAATCCATGCAGCAAAATTGCCGATAACAAGGAAAATGGAGAAATACTCATTAGAATTCCTATCCTAGTCCAATCACACGGAAAGGAATGCGATACATATAGACGTCCATACACACCGATACACAGATGTACTGCTGGTTAAATCGGGGAAAGAACACACGTAGTGGTTACGCTGTTTGTGTTAAAAACGAGGCTGTGCTTTCTGCAGGAGAGCGAACGCAAGCTTCACGGTAAGTCCACGAATTCATATTACTTATGTTGACTTGACATTACTCTTTGCACACGGCCGGAAGAACTTTTCCCATTACAGAGCGTGGCCAACGAGGAGGACATAAAATAATCCTGGGAGAAAGTGTCATCTTGTATTATTATAGGAATTTCGACTATTCCCCATTACTTTTGATAGCTATTGCTTTTATCAGACATTTATTGTCCGTGAGTACAGATGTTGCTCTGCAGAATGCTGTGGGCCGCTTGACGAAATATCAGTTTGAAAGCAAATTGGTATTGCTTCTCGAGACACCAATAAGTACCGACGTGTATGTACGAGTGAATCAATGTCATGGTGGTGGGGTTGACGGGTATATTATCATTTACTCTTCCTTACGACATGTCACCCCACCCACACGGTCTAAATCGGAGCATGAAAATGTGCATGCATTTCAGTGACAGTTTCATATAGATATTTACTATATATGTAGGTTCGACAATCACAACTTTGTGGGCAGCCACAATTTTTTTTAATTGTTTGGAATATTTGAACGATAGTAAAGCTGCATAAATTGTCCATAATTTTGCGGTCATATCTCGTAATGTTAAAATAAATTCATAGTATAATGAAATCACAGACTATGGATGCCGCTTATTACATATCTTAAAAATATTAAGTACTTACCTCTATTTCTTCTGCATTTGGAGCGTAATAATCAAAAGTATGTTTACCGACTGAGCAAACAAATTTATTGAACTTTGAAAGATGAATGTAAAAATTATCACAGATAACAAATCTCGAATATTTGTAGCACGTTAATATTAATAAAGCACCAAAGGAATATATTGCAGCGACATTTTATTAGATTTCCATATTTCCGTATTTTCTATTATGGGTTGGTTGAAGTGTCCAAATTGTTTGCACAGACACGTCGTGAAGATGGGAATCCTCATTAAAAATTAAAAGTAAACAGGTAATCCGTACTTGGAATTGATTATTTATACGCTAACTCCTGGCGATTGTTCTTATATGACATGTACAGGCGTACATGGTGCCCGGACAGAGTTGACAACGTGCACCAGAACTATTAAATATTTAACAAGGGAATAGAGTTGCCTCGATTTGCTATTACCAGGGGATAAACTTTTCCACAGGGAACTTTCCCCACAGATTTGAGCCGAGATGTCGTCCTCAATGTCCACCTCTACGACGGACGTGGTACGTAAGCACAAGTCGAGACACTTATGCAAGTCAGTGTCCACTACTCGAGGAGTCAATGTGGGATCAATGTGAATGGAAAGAAATCACTTGGTGAAAGAAGGGAAGGTGGTGATGGGACTGGGAAGCTATAAGGGAAAAGGTACAGGCCAGATGAGATGGGATCGGAGATTGTTCAGCAGATCAAGTGAGTCTGCTGATGCTGGTTTGTCTATACTTCACACTTTCACTCTCGCTTTCTCTCTCGTTCGGTATTTTAGGAGAGAAAGAGGAGTTTCACTGAAAGCCGCGAAATCTTCAGAATCGGGACCAACCGCAGCCAGAAGATCCACACCAGGCAGGCAGGCAGGCAAGCAGCTGCGCTTTCTCTTGCGCAATTTCCTCCTTTCTCTTTTCAGCCAACAGCTCTACTACTCCACTCTCACACAGGTTCACTTGGTACGACAAATACCAGAGACCTCGGCTCCCTTATAAGTATGTTTATTTTGTTGGTCCTGTGGGCTCAGTTGCATGTATTTCTGCACCCCTCCGAGTGTGTACTACGTCCGAAGGAAGAATGGCAATAGACGACTGGGTGCGAGGTAAGCTCAATACTGGCGAACAAGATAAGTTGGTTGTACACACACGTCAATGAATGGCATGTGCAAGGCAACGCTGGTGGAAGTCCAGTAAGAAGCTTTTCAGTTCTTGCTTACACTATTCATACATAAATGTAGCATGTCGTGAATGTAGTTTACTCCCTTTGTGTAGCAGCACGACTTTTCCTGTCGTGATGTACACATTTAGCTCTAAACCGGGCTTATGTATTTAAAATAGCATGACTTTCGTACAATGTTTGCATATTTTAAGCGTATTATAGCGACGTATAATTACTATGTGTATGTACGCGTCTGTTTGTAACATTTTAAAGATTACCAAACCAATTTAAATGCATTAATTCACTGCCGGTTTTCACTTTCCCCAGAGGCGTAATATAATATAACTGTGGAGCAAGGATGTTGCTTTCTCTTCCTTCATTTATTTTCTTGCGTTCCGTTTCGTGGACAGAATGAATCCCCGCACAGCCCTAAACAAAGGCGAGGGCGTCAGGAATTTGGTGATGTATAGTCGAGTCAGTGAAAATCCACATGGTCTCCTCATTTCCTTGAATTTCAAACACCAGTTTTCTTTGTGCCCCGACAAAAGTCATTTCTCCTCCTCGACTCTTTTGTAGCAGGCAGGATTTTCTACACTGTCTGCAACTCATGCTACTACTGCCACTATTATGCATTATATTCCCTCTGCTGCTGCTGCTTTTTTTACGCAACTGTACATCCTCATCCTTGCTCAATAGCTGGTATAATGGTGAATGTGTACATCGTGGTTTGTATCAGCCAGCATCTTGCAGTTGCACGTGTAACACTACGTAAAATTCAGCAGGAGATTTTAGATCTATTAAGAAGAATTTTCAGTGAAACTTTATGCTGTTAGTTAAAGTCGTAGCCATTCATTTGAAACTTGTGTAAAAACCACCAAAAAGCCAAACCCTTATCATGTGAAGGTAAATAACTCTTAGTAAATGGGCTTCAGTTGGGAAGAAAGACGGAGAAAGTAAGCAGATGACAAACTTTTAACTTTGTTCCAAGGGAAAGTCTCGTTGCTTTCTACCAAAAAACTGCAAGTTTAAGGTAGTTTTGTTCTAAGAGATGATTGATAACATCCACCTGCGCTCACTAAAGTTCCGACAGGGCCAAAGACCAGCAGATGTAAATATATGCTGAGTTTCTGTTTACATTACAACAGTGAAAGCAAATAAGACTCGGCTTCTTTCTCCGTTTTTTCTGGGTGATGTATGTAACACACTTTAGCAAAAATAGGCATTAACAAGATAGAATTAAGGTTAGATGAGGAGAATGCGCGAATGTCTGGTGGCCCATAAAATGCAAATGTTTAAACCTCAAAGAAGAAGATGGGGCAGCTACGTATAGCAGGTTGGGAGAAAGCAGCATGATCTCTTTGTTCCCTGAGAGAAAGTAATGCCAAAGGGTAATAAACTCGTTTATGTTTTGGTATTCAACTCCTCAGTCGGTAGGTTTTTCAGTTCAGTCTGTATTCATTCTGCTTTCACGAGGTTGCATGGTTTCTAGGAAAAAAAGGGTTGTATATCCAATTGAAATAGATTCATTAATTTTCGTCTCGGGATTCAAGCCTAGATAGTTTGCATGGAATGTAGTAAAAAGTAGGAATGATAAGCTCCACATCTGCTTCCTGTTCCTTCAACCATAACCGTAGAACGGACAAAAACACTAATAATCTTAGGGTTGGCCTTTACTAATATGCGATAAGTAGGACACAACGCAGTATGCATACCCAAATTAATTATGCAGGGATATGCTATCTAATAACGTATATTTAGCAGAGGGGTAAAATTGATGAAAATTTTGTGATACGTTATTTGTGTTAGAGTTCTAGCCCAAGTAGAGCGTATGTAACCGTTGGGCTGTTTGAGATAACCTTTGTATATTTTATTTGAATTCTATTGTCTTAAGCTTAGTAAAGTAGCATGAATGCATAATTTTTCTAGTCCAAACACAAAATGATAAGCGAAGTAGATTGGGGAAAAGCTGCAATGGAACCTGATTCGGGCTTGTCTATTGACACTCTATGACGATTTTTTAGAGAGTAATTTATTTGACTAAATAAATTATCCATATTTGTATTATTTCTATTGCTAAAGTGTGTTTGATTTTTAAGTGAAGTACTATATTTAGACATTAACTAATTCCAGAGAAGAAAGTGAAATTTTTTTACAGATACTCGATCATGTTCATGCATGAATGTGTATTAGACATGCATGAATATGTTTTAAATTCATGTGTTCATGACAAAATGATCGAGTACATCCATGAGTGAGACTGCATCGGCGGGCTAAAACTTTGTTCCAGCAGCTGAGTCACTGTAAACACCGTACAGACCGAAATCAATTTATTGTCACAAACATTTGGTGCAAAAGTATTAATTGTGTTAAATGCGTGACTAGTTAATATTATTTCCCTACTTACGTGCTATTCAGACGGTAGAAGTATTTAGGAAATAGGGTATTTATAGTACATGCATCATAATTGGGTCTCTACAAATTCCCGATAGAATGGCAGGGGCGGAAGCTTCCGACGCTGTGATGATGAGGTTTGAAATAATTAAACACATTTTTACTACGTTTATTTAGTAAATTATGGCTGGTGTTAATTATCATCATATAAAGTTATCTGTGTTTATCTTTATTATGCTTCAGCTGCGAACTCAAGGAGTTGGGCCCAGTATCTGAAATAATGAAGCTGTTGGAATGCCCTATTTGCAAGGGGTTGCCCATTCCGCCCATTTGGAATTGCGACAACGGTCACATAAGCTGCGACCAGTGTAAGTCGCAACTGGACGAGTGTGGATTGTGTAGAGCCCCTTTCGCAGGGGGGAGGAATTTCTTCATGGAAGGCGTCGTCAACGATTGTCTCGTTACTTGCCCATACGCGGAGGTTTGAAGAACCATTGTATTTTAAGAAACTTATCTTAATAATTTATATCGTAATAAATAGGTCGGCTGTGGGGCGGTGTTCAGGACACATTTCATGAAAAACCATGCTGCAGAGTGCAAGTTTGGGTAAAATAAATTCTTATTTTCAATGTGTAAACATAAAGAGGATAATTCATTTCATTCCCATTGTTTATGTTTACAATATGCATAGGCCTAAAATAAAATGGATTTCTTGCCAAAACGGAAATTTTCCTCCCAACGCGATTAAAGGTGGACGGCAGCATGGAGTTGACTTGTTTATTATTCGTGCACCTCACATGGGTTCGACTACTCCAGGAAAACTATATGAATTTGCACCACCGGGGGTACATCCAGGAGGGTCAAAGGCAACTTTAGCATGGGGTGGTGGCGAACGTCACAAGTTCTCGTATGAGGTAGGTCAATGTGTCTTATTTATTGTCTTCTACATAGTTATGATTTTAGGGTTGTAGGCTATCTGGCTACGAAAGCAAAAGGATTTTTTGTTATTAAGCTTGACTAATTAGTGATTACCACATTGCAGGTGTTGGTTGCCCCATTGGGTCATGTCTCTTGGGTTACTTCACAGAACGGTGACACAACGCACAATGCAGTGATTGGCGGAGTATCTGAAACGGGTGAAACGTTGTACATTGGTCGATTTTTACATGAAGATAATCTCATCAATGGAAAAATACATCCCAGCCATCGTTGTTGTTATATTGGCGTAAATGGGCGTGAGATTGCATCCTCCACGTATGAAATTTTGGTTAAAGTCGATCTTCCTCCTCCCACTGAATCTAACGATGATTCCACGATGAATCGTAATATTTCGGATAATGATGATATGCCAGCGTACTATTCTTAAATTGCGTGTAAAGTAAACTAAGTATTTGTATTGTCAAATTGCCTTGTTATCGACCTGTGTGCTACTATACGTGTTTAGCTAATTTTATCAATTATTGCTCCCTTAGGATTACCCCATGCGCATTTCAGAATGAGCTCTTAATGGATCGATGAGTAATATTATTATTGTAATATTTACAGTATTTTTTGTGTTAACGATAGAACGCATTTTACGAATAAATGGGGAACATACGTTGACTTTTAAAAACGATTTATTAATCTTTAATACGTACACTAAATTTTATTAGCATTTTCATTTGTATCAAGCCCGTAATTAATTCGGATGCTAACTAAATTAAACAAATGACATACAGTATATTTTTATGTAGATACGCTCAAGAAAGAAAGTATGAAAAGTGTATGGTATGACAATGGTGAAAAGTATTTTGAAAGACAAATAAAGTACAAAGTAGAAATATAAAAAGACATTACATATTATCAGTCTGAAAAGAGATCAAGGTTTTTAGCGTGGAATGAAATACGTGTTAGCAATTTTTCGGGAACAATATGGCCAAAGAACATGGCCGTGAAGCACCTTGAACTACAATATTAATTCCAAAATGAGTTCAAACTATACATCATATAATGACCGCAGACACGCAAAGATGACACAATTTGTTTTATTAATGGGTTGACAGGGTAAAAATTGGTTACGGTTTTGTGCTAAAGAGAAAGTGGAACACAGCATGCCACAAAAGAATATTAGATTAATTAGGCGGAAAAATGCGTACACACAGGAGACCGACCAGACACACCCAATCCCGTTCCCAGCACTAATTATTAGAGTTAGGAATTTCATTACGAGTATTATGTTCCAGCAAGTTATCCTATTTAAGTAATTGTAATAATGACTTTCTACACGCTTCAATTTTTCAACCAAATGAAATTGTTAACAAGTTAAATATTTTCTCGCAATTACTTTTTGGGTTGACTAGGAAAGGGGTGGCTAAATTTCTCTCGGTTTTATCTTTGTCCTCCTCCTAAACTATATAGTATGTACGTAGAAGTATGCATTTAGGTCGGTCCGGTCGAGTTAACTACGGTATTCGTGAAGTTAATCGTGGAAATAATGGTCTAAGGATAACATATTTATGAATTCTATTTCTAGACGATTTGCGCATTTTACCCGATATTTTTTTCCAATGCGCAATAATTATTTATCATCATGTGTATGATAAATACAACTCGAAACTTGCATATTCTTTTTCGTAATATAAATTTTTGAACGCCAAACTACCGTTCATATAAATTCTTATGTGAAACAGTGTAAATACCGGAATTGCGATTTACAAAAGTAAAAAATGTCCGTTCGTTTGTTTGGGGAGGCTAATTCAGTTAGTTTTATCTTTTCCCCTCGACCATTTGTCGCATTTAGTAACAACGAACAACTGAGGAAGTCAAGTACATGTCATGCAGATTTTTAAATTTCGTTGTATTAACCAAACTTATTTGTTGAGTAATAAGCAACTCAAAACTGGTCAAAATGTTTTCAGAATGCTACTACAAAGTACTTATTCAATAATCTGCGCTTTCACCAGCATGAAACCTCTCCATTTCAGCTTGTAGGTACTCGTCCTCAATTAGTTTACCAGTCCAACAACTCCAGTCCAATCCAAACCTACTACTCTTGTGCATTCTGTATTTGAGCAAGAAAGTAATAAGTTGTTCCAATCGACAAGTATATACTTTAGATAAATACCACAGAATTCTTACATTATTCTTACGCTACATAATATTTGTAAATGCCATGAGGCACGCATACCACTCAAGCTTTGCAGACGACTAAATTGTAAGTGATAATTTTATTTACTTTAGCGATATAGACGTTCGAATTTAGTAGATATACTTTCAAAGAACTGTTAATCAGAAAATCTTAAACCTGAAGATTATTATTAAATGGCAAAATAAAAACACAAATGATACTCTTTAACTTTAAAGTCATTAGTAATTTAATATTGCAACCGCTTGATTGAAAACAGTAAACGAAATTATACAATAATTAAATAAGTAAGCAATTACATACATAACAAAATACAAACTTTTGAAAATAAAAGTGCCAAATAAACAACAGTAACGACAGGGTAAATGCATCTCAATAAGTCAAACAATGTAATGTTTTTTTTCTAATAAGGTCTACTATAAAAGTTCATAAATAAGAAACACCCATCATATCACTCACTCAAACCCCACGGTATATAAACAATCATGAAGATGTGCACATGTATGTATGTAATATACATACATATAACACCGCATAGAAAAAATACCCTAGAAATGGCTAAACATAATCTACTGGATGAATTATGTATTACTTGGTTGACAGTAATTCTGACTCGAGTTAAAAGGATTATCAACTATTCGTTAGGTTAAATCGAAATTTACTTATTTATAGGTTGCTTTGCACATTTTACGAGATAATCAGTGTCAAGTGTGTCACAACAAACAACTATATACATATTTGTCTAAATGATAATGCTAACTAATTTTTTGGCATTGTGTCTTTAATATTTTAAGCATAGAAAAATTACTACATATGTATCGATATAATGGAAATCATAATAATGTGTCACGTGTAAACATAATACCTATAGGTGTCAAGCGTTATGTACAAAGGTTTACATGTATGTATGTATGTACGTGTGTATACATATATGTACATATGTAGGTATATCGTTTACGTTTATCTAGATAACTGCATTGCAACTGTACTTTTGTATATGCAGTTGTAGGATATCGACTTAGTAAAGGTTATACAAGATTATATAATAATGACATTAGAGTATCGCACAAAAGAAGAATACTAACGGCATGAATAAGTTAAAAACGATAAATAAAAGGTTCACCGAGTTGTGATTTTATCTGCAGCATATGAAAAACAGCACAAGTTTTACGAGTATACCATATATTATCGCCAGAAAGAACTTTTGTGCCTTACGTCGGCTGATGATTATGATTCTGGAAGAATTGTTAGCATTTCTACTGGCGTAGGAACACAAACCGCCGCCCGTTTACAGAATTATCTTGAACAACTTATAGTTAGTTAGTATTAAATTTATGTAAAATTTATGCTAGTGAATAATGAGCCTTCATGTACAAACTTAAATATACAGACACCATCACCACAGCACATAAATTAGGAATACTGGCTTTGTAATAAGGTTTAGGATCTTCTTTTTTAAAGTCTCAGAGGGTCAGGGTTATCAGCATTTGCGTTTTCGTGTGTCTGCTCTGACGAAAATGATGATTTTATTTTATGACGAATTCGTTGAATTTATGATGTTTGCGATCAATGGATATTAAATTGAAAAACGCTTATCTCCTATTCAGCTCAAGTTTTATGGCTGAAAAAAAAATCACATCATTAGAAATCTGGTTTTATGTAGCCACATATACAATGAACGTAAAAAGAAATATGCTTATGACTTACCATCAATAATTTCAGCTTTGACTTTGCATAGCTCTTTTCTAATTTCTTTTAACTGCGAAAAATACAAATAAAAATGTACACTGTAACGACTTACACAACACTTTCTTTAAAATATGTAGAAACCCAGAACACAACACCCACGCATGTATATCAAGGTGAAGTAGGACCAGTGTGGTTAAAAAATATATTAATTCATATTAAGCGTCACAAGGATTGCAGTATCAACTTGGTAATGTTGCATTTGTTGTTCTATTAAAGTCTCCTTCGTTATAAGAACAAATTATTGCTTACCATGTCTTGTTTTAATGACTCTAATTCGCTATCGTAACCATTGGAAGAACTTCCATTCATGACTATTCCTGAACATGTGTCGGATCCCGTTCTTTTTCTTTGATTCGTTTTAGGAGACGGTGGAGATTCCTTCATTTTTCCAACGCCACCTGGCCTTGAATCTTCTTCATCCTGTAATAAATGCAATGATTAATTTTATAATTCAAATAATCTATAATCGCATTGTTTCAGAGTGACTTACTTGACCGTTCTGTAGTGGAAGATTTGGAGCAGAGTTTTCTTTGCACATTGCCCGTCTTCGGGCCAAAGTTTTTGCCATCTCGTCCATCAGTGACGTTCCCCCTGCCGGAGTTGCAGGAGCATCACTTCCGCCTATTCCATTGCGAACCCCTCCTCTCAAAGTACCTATTATAATCAAAGTTATACAGTCAGTAAATAACATTTGGTAATAAGTCCTTGGTCAACAACGTACCATAAAGACTTGCACTCGATGCACTCCCACTGCTACTACTACTTGACGTACTTGTCGTGCTTATTGCATCTGGTTGTGGGCGATTTGCTTTCTTCAGTTGTGCTTGAGCTACATATACACATATTTTGTTGGTCAGAAAATTACACCAAAGAAGCAGTTTACATCAATTATAGTAATAAATTATAGGCATATCTTCTACTGACCTAATGCGGCAGCTAATGAGCCGACTTCTTGATCTCCGCCTTTGGACAACGGTCCATTTGGCATTGGAGGAGGCGGCGGTGGAGGTCCACCGCCACCAGTTTGTAATGGCATTGCAGGTGGGGGTGGTGGAGGTTGTGGAGCGGAATTTGTCCGATGATGACCTGGAGGTCCTCCTTGATTTTGAACTAAAACGGGTGGCGTATTTGGGCTTAGGGATGGTATCGCTCCAACTATTGTTTAAAAATACAATTAATTAGTCCATTGTTCATGAATAAAGCACGGAGCTGATTGGTTTAAAATAGCAACAAATGTTCATTACCTTGTTGTTGAGGTTGTGACATTCTTCTTTCAGTGATTACGGCAATGTCTTCCCTGTAACATAAAAAAATGATTTAAAACTTGTCCTAGTACTGATATATATTTATTGTATGGTTTAAAAATTTATTTACCTGGTCATTGTTCGGTATCCCATGTCTTCCTCACTCGGATGATGATTATTATTATTATGTGCTGGTGGGGGATGAGGATGGTGGTTATTCATGGGCGGGGGACCCGTGTGATTCGAATTCATTAATCTCGGTGGCCCAGGAGTTGCATTGTTGAGCGCATCGACAGCAAGCATCATACTACAATGGTATTATTTTCAATCAATTTTAGTGATTAAAATCATTCGTTCTACATCATAGTCTTAGTTCCTTACCTGTATGCAAATGCTTCAGCGTCATCCTTACTGCTGAAGTTAAGACCATAAACCTGTCGATTATCTCTCCATTGGTGAAACGTTGGTGTCGCTTGGTTGTACCTACGCGTACGGATCGGTTAGGAAATTTAGTATATTATTACTTTTCAATGCCACTAATTAATTGATAAATACGAAATCCTTACTTGAGACCCTTCAAAATTGAACAATTTATGACCACCTCCTGATCGTTTAATTTCCTTCCCACCGTCTTCAAAAACAAAACAAAAACGATTATTTAAATTGTGCTAAATATTAATCTTCATGCAATATTAAAGTAATATCTCACTCTGTATGTGTTGTTGACCACGTGGTGATATATATGAACTTTTGATAGACCAGATGAACTCCCACTTGGCACCCACTTTTTGTTGGTTTCATCGTAAATCATTACCGACGCTCGGGCCGACGCGATGCTTTGCTCACTAAAATTATAAATAATTCATAATATATCATACACTGTTATAAAACCATTATCATTTATCCCAAATATTTGTAATATTCAAATATTAGTTTATAGGTTTGTGGAAATGTATTATTTTCGATTCCTTTCGTATGAAAGCAATTCAGTCGATCGGTTTAATGACATGGAATCTTGCTATTCTCTTGGCGTGGATTGATTGAGTGAACTAAAACCGTCCCGATAAAACAATGGCGCCTGCTCGTGACCTGAATCGCAAGGCAAGGGCGATGTATCTAAACTCAATTTCAACATCTCGATGAAGTTCCACCAGGAGATTATCAACCTATGAGCTCCAGGGTTTCATGTCTTCAGACGAAGAGTGAAAGTTTGGAAAACTTTGGTGAATACGTGCCTTCTCTTCTCGCACCTTATATAACCTACAACGTCATGCATGTATAACGTAATTCAATCTCTGTACACTACATATAGTCAACGAAAAGGTTATATTAAAGTTGTCATTCCTAGACAGTAAAACATGATACATTTTAAATAACTGCGACATATACCTCGTTCGATAAGATTGGCGTTGGGTTGAATGATCGAGTATCGAGGAATTTAACCTTGGAATCGGAAAGACATTTGAGACGAAATATCATGTTCGTGTGAAATTCGAGCTAATTCAATATTGCCCCAAATGGCTACGAGATGAAGTCATGAAATACTTGCATGCGCTTCTAGAAAACACATTCCGCAACCATGTGCCATTTTTCATACCACACGTTACTAGGACTTATCGACACGTTGTAAGCATCTTGAGAGTGATTTTTATTTTTACAAACTTCCTCCAGAACTGCCATCGTCATATGGAATTATTTAGTGTCATACTGGACGTTTTATACATGTACATATTTACATATTTAGCTGCAAGTTTGATTTCACGTCGACTCGATGACTCATTGCAAAAATCAGCACATTTTCCATCATTTCTCAACTCTGGGAATTTATTCTTGGGCGAAAAATTTGTAGCGTGTTGCAAATTTAAAAAATATACACTCCAGATTTTGACAGTTTTAGAAGGAGGAAATCTCAAGTTCAAGAAGTCTTCAAAAGATCGGAACTGGGTTATCTTAATTTGAAAAACTCATCCGCATTTTAATAAACATTGTTCAATTTTTACATTGAAGTAATAGAAATTTTTTTTTACCAAAAATCAATACAACCTGGCAAAGGCTAATCGTTATTGGGCATCTAGTGTACTTCACATTTAAACCGTGTATCACATTCATAAATCTGAATCCGATAACAATTATTTACAACTCATGTATAATTCCACGTTGTAAATGTACAACCCCTGCCCCTCGCTCAATTGTGCCATCTGTATGAAAAAGGTTTTGTGAAAATATAAATGGGGCAGATGCACATCAGTTCATCAGTGCCAGGTGTAAGCAGAACGTATGTATGTACCACTCCAGTGTTATAAGGGTCTCACTGACGCCTGAAATATGGGAAGTAGCAGTGTACTAATAAGAACAAGAACGGAGTAGTAAGTGAGATAAATACGAATACTCCAGCTCTTCTATTATCTAGAGTCTTTTTAGTTTTCAATATATTACACAATTAGGTGTTCTCTAGCTCACACTTCATTGCATGCACAACCTCTGAAATGAGCCAAATTGGTGAAGCATATTGACTATGTTATTCTTATAGATTTAAAGAAATTATCTGGAACTGCTGTTGCCTTCTTTTCTCAAACAACTGGCACAACCATAAAGTTTTCAAGTCGTTGGAGGAAGAACACTCCAAGACGTATGTATGTATATAATCACAATCAGTATCATTCTCCAGTACAGAACGGAAGACAGCCCATGTATTACATTTGTGAGTCATGCAGTTGTGAACTGGTGGTGGCAAAGAATTCCAGTATTTCCAGCATTAGTATTTCCCGATGGCAAGGAGAAACACATCTTCCATGCTGTAAAAGGCGAAATATGAGTGTTTTTCGTAAAGACAGCTCAAGCTTATAGTGAAGAGAGAATTCCTATCTGTTGTAACAGTATCAGTCATCTATATATATGCGTTACTAGAGAAGCGTGCTCTTCGATGTTTGAGAACAAGATGCTTGAAAGCTTTACAGGAGAAAGATAAAATGCCTGTCATTGCATATCGTCGTGGTAGGGTTAATGCCGATGCAATGTTATCTTCATATGTGAAGTAGAGCTGCTTGCTGTCCTAGTCACCGTCGTCGTTGTCATCTTACCATGTGTGAATAACCATCCATAACAAACATGAGAGATTCGCTTTCACAGAACATTTCTCACAAAAGCTACAATGTCACAAACCCAGAATAAGCAGGAATACAGAGACAGAAACCACACAAATGAATAAAATAACAAACACAACTGCCGCTTTCTCAACAAATGTTTGGATGGATTTGAAATGTAAATCATGCATGCGAATGAATAATTAATACGCACCATTGAACATTTCTGGATTTTACTTTGGAGGACAAAATTTTGTCATTTTGAACTTTAGAAAGTATGGAACTGGAAGATTGAATAGTGATTATGCAACGCATAGTGCAAAGGGGTGAGATCTCAATAGACTAGAGAAAGTTTTTGATAAGTTTGAACATTGGAAAATTTCTAGAACGAGTGTCAACTTGACTATGCTGACATATACTACTTGCTCAGTTGCTCCTTTGCATTTGTGCCGTCGTACATCATCGTGAATGAAAAGTTAATAAAGCCAAGTGAGCAAAAATAGTTTGATAGGTTGAAAATCACCATAGCCCATCCTGTTCCTAGACATTTTCATATTCCGATATTTTCCCTTTGGGGAGACAACGACGGCTCCCGTCTTTTCTCCATTCTAGACACATTCTTTCGCAATAAGTAAAACGACTACAAGTTCTAGAACTGATAGGAGAGAACTTTGTAACTTCACAAAAGTTTGTATCTTACCCTACAGCGAAAAGTATTTTCTATCGTTAAAAACAAAATGTTAACAACTAAATTATTGAATAAATTGTTAAAGCTTTCGCTTGTGTGGACAGGGCCCAAATTAACCTCTACTCAGTAATTTAAATCTAGTACATTGGAAATGCAATTTCGGAAGACTGACAATGAGTGCCATAGTAGATCCGACCTGCGAACGTATGTACGTGTGTATTGAGGGTATTCATTAGGACTTCGCATGTTCGCATCGCAACATAACTTTTTCGAAATTGCGAATTTTGCGAAGCAACAAAGTGAACACACTTCGCAAATGAAAAATTTGCGAAAATTTGGTATACAAATGTCTCGAATTTTGCAATGGGAAAAATGTTAATTTCCATTAGTTACCGAAATGCGTCTCAAATTTACCAAATAAGAAATTTCAAAAATTCCAAACCCCAAACTTCCGTAACCAATAGAGATTTATGGAGTTTTCCTATTGCAAAATTTGTGAAAAATATTTTGCGAACTAAATACTAGCCTTGGAGATGCGCAAGTTCGCAAGTCAATTTTCAAGCCAATAATTTTTGCGAACTTGCGAACTTTATTGTTTTGCGAACGTTGCTAACGATGCGAACTCGAAATGAATACCCTCATTGTAATGTACCTATGGACATCTAAACGATCTATATAAAATATGTAGGTTTACCATGCACACATGTGTTGCAACATGCAGTAACTACTATATTGGATGAATGTCACTAAAATTTCATCCAAACCCAACGACGCCCTTTCGCTCTAATGAGAATCAACTACTGATGACCGTGATATGGCTCACAAAAGTTTAGTAGGTCACCGATAAAGGGCGAAGAGCCCAATCCTGCGATGATTCCTTGCGGGAGGACCGGGAAGAGCCCCAGACCTGTCAGCTAAACCCCGGTACCGTTCGCACCCCAAGGAGGAGCAGGCAGGTCTGAGGTGTGGTGAGCCGGAAATTCACTGGGGATTTATGGCTGATAATAGTCGAGGTCCTCTTGGGTCACAGAGCCTGCCCAGCTCTGTCGATCGATGCCTCGTAGTGTCCCGAACTGCAGGCTTAGCCAAGGGAGGGTTGCCTGCTCAGCAACTTGGCACATGTGATCTTGTGGAGAGCGCCACAAGCAGCCTTTCTTTGACCCAGGAAAGTGCTGACTCTGTTTCAATGGGTTTGAGGAGGTCAACACGAGTGACAAAAAGACCCGTTTCACACGATGAACGAATCCAGGCTGGGTGGGATCAATTGGCAGAGCAGTCATCACCAATTATACCCACGCCCTTACTACAATATGAAAGTGATGATGATGACGAACCTCTTGCTAAAAGGTCCAAAACGAGTGGAAGTTCGCAGCCACTACAAAATTTCCAATTAGATGAAAATGACGATGTAAAATTTATATGTTTTAATGCAGATGGCCTTAATGACACAAAAATTTCCAATCTCATGACTCATTGGGAAGGATGTGATATGCTTTTTTTTCAAGAGACTAACCTCGGTCAAACTGATGAAATAGCAGTGTCACAAATTATGAGAAGTTTCGAGTATGAGACTCATTATAATCCTGCTTTACGTTGTACATATAGTAAAGATATAGGTACGGGATACAAGTACGGGGTAGCCCTTTCTCAACGACCACATATTTCCGTGGAGAAAGTGGATTTGGCTAAGATCTATGCAAATAAATTAGTCCCTTTGAACCCAGAACGTATCATGATGACCAAAGTTCAGACAAATTTAACAACAGACCCAATCACATTCATCAATTTGTACTTTCCTTCACAGAACAAAAAGAGTCCCGAACGGATAAAAGAGAGAACAGATTGGCTCACAACGATTGACTTTCTCTGCAAAGAATTGAAAGATGATTATGTGGTGTGGGTGGGAGATTTCAATTCTCAACGACCCGACCTTTGTCCAACAGGAGATAAAGACGAACGGGCTAAAACTTTCACCCCAATGTATGAAACCTTTGCCAAGTATGGATACACAAATGTGAGTGAAAGTCTGTGGGAGGACGATGTGTGGACATTGTGGGGTAAGAATAAGGGAAGA